CAACCGCAGTCTGTGGCAGGTGCGCGCGCCGCAAGGGCCTCCAAAGGGCGTGAGGCTTACAGCAGTGAGCGTTGGTGCGAGGCACGGCCTCCGGCTGCGGGCCACGGGGCTGACGTGTCGCAGGGCAACCCACCGCGGAAAAGTTTCTGTGAGTACGCGCTCGTGTTCGGTGGAATTGTAACTGGAAAATGGTTTGCTTGTGCAAATCATGTTGTTTTGTTGTTAAACATGTATGCGAATTCTCACACTCGGTAAATCTGTGTTGGTAATTTGTAAACTAAAGATGATAGCCCGCACTCAGATCAAGCTCCAGAAATCCCACCATATTTGGTGAGGATCGCTTCTGCTTGATCGCTTCTGCTTGAGGATCGCTTTTCATGGTGTCCTGCGCCAACATTTTGTGGGGTATCGCCTTTAACAGGCTCAGATTCACATTGAACTGATCCTAGCACTGTTACTGGAAAGTTGAGCCCACAAAAAGCAGGAAGCTGTGGGTTTTGTGCTTTGACAGAATTTGTTGTATTTGGAAGTTGGCAACTTTTCCTCATCGGGACTAAATCATTTCCGGCCAGAAAACTTCGTCATTGAGAGCATATCATGCTGAGAGCAAAAATGACTGCCTGAATGAATGATCACAAAACTGCGAACTCAAGTCAGGCAGCATGTACATACGTTCTTCATGAAACCGTTATGCCAAGTGGGGTCGTTATACGATCACATAAACACTGACATTTTATGCGTATATATATATATATATATATATATATATATATATATATATATATATATATATATATATATATATAACATATCACGTGTGTGTATGTGTATGTGTGTGTGTATGTGTATGTGTATGTGTATGTGTATGTGTATGTGTATGTGTATGTGTATGTGTATGTGTATGTGTATGTGTATGTGTATGTGTATGTGTATGTGTGTGTGTGTGTGTGTGTGTGTGTGTGTGTGTGTGTGTGTGTGCGTGTGCGTGTGGGTGTGCGTGTGCGTGTGCGTGTGCGTGTGTGTGTGCGTGTGTGTGTGCGTGTGCGTGTGCGTGTGCGTGTGCGTGTGCGTGTGCGGTGTGCGTGTGCGTGTGCGTGTGCGTGTGCGTGTGCGTGTGCGTGTGCGTGTGCGTGTGTGTGTGTGTGTGTGTGTGTGTGTGTGTATATACATGTCATATCGTCTGATGTATTTCAAATATCGTGTTACTGAAGCCAAGTTTTGGTTACAATATACCTGCATTCAGAGCGCGGACATCTTTAGGAGTCGTAAGCGGATTGGTTTAGCGGGCTGTCTGACTAAAGACTTGAAGCGTGCGTCATCTGAAGTACTGACGAGGCTGTGGCCATCTTATTGCATTATTACGCTACTTGTCTGACGTAAGTCTCACATTTAGGTATCCTATGAAACGTCACAGAAAAAATCTTACCATTTAAAAAGCCTGAATGAACCCCGCAGAATATTTTGAATGCCTTTATGCTTGATGTCCCTTTGCATTTCAAGTGTTGTTTTCTGATTGCATCGGACGGGACAGAACTGCCCGCATAAGCTCCTCATGCGTTTGCTAGGCTGTTCTCAGCCGTTTCAAGCCTACAATTAGCCACCTATGGGGATATACAGGATGCCTCACAAGTGTGAGTGCAAAAACAAACCTTCATGTTTACGTAAATCGCGTGTGATTGAGCGACACAAGAGCACTTTTTGAGTTCAGGACATTTTGGAGATTGCGGCAGTCTCCACATCAGCGATGTAACCAGCACTAGCAATTATGCTGCGCTATGAAGTTAGCGCTGTTGCGCTAAGTGCTATGCGAATCCATGGTAACCCAAGCAACGCGCTTTGCGCTAGCTGCTTCAAAGTAGCCGTTTAGATAGCTTTTGCCTCCTTAAACGATGCGTCCTTTTGCTTTTACCTTCGCCTTTGTGCATGTCCCCAAGGTAGATCATGCCTTGCTTGGAACTCCCCGGCAGTGAAGCCGCTGAATTCTGATTGCTGAGTTAGTTCGTAGAAACCATTCCAATCTTTGCACTCTCTTCCACACCGTGTATGGCAAGCTTGCCTCAGGTTCATGAAACTTTGTGATACTAATTTCCAGCCTGCGTTCCGATAGCTCAGTTGGTTAGAGCGCCTGCCTTCCGATCCACCTACCCGTGAATAGGTGGGGGTTCGTGGCGCTTTTAGCGCTCGCTGTGTGCCCTTGACTGGAAAGCTGGTTGCAGCGGCCGCGTTAAAGGTCAGGTGACGCCAGAGGCCAGGATGAGCCCTGCCGAAAATTCCAGCACGCTTAACTTTCGCCACCAAGTTCTGCTGTTGACCTGGAGATTCATGATCGCATGATGGGGTCAGGGTTGACATAACAAGCACTGTTAAATGTGGGCTCTTATTCGCAAGATCCGTTTGTTTAAAAACCTCTGAATAAACTTTAAAAATCCCTGTAGAGGATCATTTGTTAGAAAAATTATCATGCTTATAAATAACAAAAGCGTTAGAAAAAAATGTGTATCGTACGAACACTTCTAAGACACCCTGTAGTATATTAACGGTATATTTCGATGAGTACATGATTGTGTCGCTGTGGCTGAGTGCTTCAGAGTTCAGCTGCCGACTCCAGTATGTGGCTGGTATATATTTGTGCCGGAGTCCCAGAGATGGCTTTTTGACCTGGTCAATGCCAGGTGGCAGGGGGCGACAAGGCTTCTACGGTCATACGGCGCGGTCGTGTCAAAGCGTCAGATGACAAGTGAAATATTCTCTGGACACGAGATGCAAAATTACCTTTCAAGCTGGCGAAATGACGTTTCAAATGGTCATCCTTACTAAGTCTAAATCAAACGGCGAAAATACCAATGCATTTTTGCAAAAACTCACGTTTCCTTACTGATTCAACACAAGCAGCACTCAGAGACAATAATTGCAGACGCTGACAACTTGAGAGGTCTTCCTTCTTCAACAAGTTTGCAGCTGTGCGATCAAAGAAATTCGCCATTTATTGCAGTTCTCTTGCTGGCACAAGGCGTTGAATCGTGAAATCTAAATGAGCACAGTGCACGTGCTTTGCGTCACCTGCAACGCATGGCGCCTTCTGTTTTGTCCTGGTCTGACACGCCCACCTGGTGAACCCTTGCCCTTGAAACGAGGTCTGTTCACAAAAGCCCCCCCCCCCCGTAAACTCCTGTATGCTTTTGATCGCTGTTGGCTGCGGAGACTGCCGGCACTCCCTTGAATACTTCCTCTGACTGAATTGTGAGCTTGAAATGTCTGATGACAGACGTGGCCGATGCAGAACGAGCTAGTCATTTAGCATTAGCTTATGAAATTAAAGCAAAATGAACAATATTGATCAGCCGGATATCAAATATAAAATGGCCGTACGGAATGTGGCATAATTGACGTGATGCTGCTATTGACTCAAAACGCCCACATTTTGTCGTGTATTTGTAGTAGCACCTAAAATACTCGGCCAAAAAGCGTAATAACGGTAAATTTATGAAAGTTGCATGCAGGGCCTGTCTTTTCCTGAGATGCCAGGTGATGTCAAAAACCTACCACAAATTTCTGTTAAATATATTACATATATGTATATATATAGAGAGAGAGAGAGAGAGAGAGAGAGAGAGAGAGAGAGAGAGAGAGAGAGAGAGAGAGAGAGAGAGAGAGAGAGAGAGAGAGAGAGAGAGAGAGAGAGAGAGAGAGAGAGAGAGAGAGAGAAGAGAGAGAGAGAGAGAGAGAGAGAGAGAGAGAGAGAGAGAGAGAGAGAGAGAGAGAGAGAGAGAGAGAGAGAGAAGAGAGAGAGAGAGAGAGAGAGAGAGGAGAGAGAGAGAGAGAGAGAGAGAGAGAGAGAGAGAGAGAGAGAGAGAGAGAGAGAGAGAGAGAGAGAGAGAGAGAGAGAGAGAGAGAGAGAGAGAGAGAGAGAGAGAGAGAGAGAGAGAGAGAGAGAGAGAGAGAGAGATTTTATGGTAAGCTAACGCGCATTGATCCATTCAACTTCAAGTCATCTCATTTACATGTGGTAATGAATAAAGTATTACCTCAATGACTACGAAGTCTTGTCAAAGACTTTCTTTTTTCATGCGTGAATGTGAAACTGCGGGCTTTTTGCATTCAGCTTCCAGCGGAACGGAAACACTCATTTTGATATGAGACTTAGAATGGTTTATAGACGGCGAGACATCCAGGTATTTTGCATCTATCCCGGTATCCTGTACCCATGTTTTTTATTCATTTAGTCACGTTAGATGTCCTTGCTACTAAGATTTGCTTTGCCCAATCCACCCGCTGCCCGTGGAGCTATGCCCATACCCACCTGCTGCACATTTTCATCAGTTACACTGGGTGATGTTTCAGAGAAGTTTATTATCCCTACTCATAACAGCATCTTTTTTCACAAATGCGCGGCAAGCTCAGCCCGTCGCCTATTTTCGTATGGGTACCCAACCCGTGAAATGACCTACTTGATACCCATAAGTGAATCGTGATTATTAAGGTAGATGCGTTCTTGTAATACGCATAAACAGCGTAGTCAGCTTAGTGCCACCGTCATTTTCAATGTCATGCCCTGCCCGTGGCCTTTCCGCCGGCAAGACCGCAATCGGCAGGGGACACGGTACACTCACTCCCACAGGCGGCGTGCGAAGAGCAGTTGGACACAGCCCTCCTATTGGCCCGCATGGTGAGCAGTAACACTGTACGAGCCTACATATTTCCGGTTTGATGCAGCTCATTGAGCAGTACAGAGAGTGGTTCAATGAGCAAAGTCGTGATGCATAAATCCTGTATGCAGACCTGGGCCTAGTTTCGTGTATCATGAGGACGGATCTTCGTGTATTTGTAATATAGCCGACCAGTGTGATGTGCGCGAGACGTCGCCGGCTCTAGGCGGCCGTTGCAGTGGCCAACCCCCCGCTCTCGGTATCAGGGCTGTCATCTGCGCGTGCGGTGCGGCCTGACCTTTCGTCCGGTGCCCGGTCGGCAGGAACCGGCACGTGGTGCACACCCACGCAACGATGGATGACGAGAAGCTGCTGACCAAGGCCGGTGTCAAGCGCCGCTCATTTAAACGGCAGAAGGCGCACTCTGTCGACACGTCCGAGGTGAGTAGAGGGCCGCCGGTGCTCACGGCAGGCCCTTCTCTCGCACACCGCTTCACCACCGGTGCCCACGGCAGGCCCTTCTCTCGCACACCGCTTCACCACCGGTGCTCACGGCAGGCCCTTCTCTCGCACACCGCTTCACCTCCGGTGCCCACGGCAGGCCCTTCTCTCGCACACCGCTTCACCACCGGTGCCCACGGCAGGCCCTTCTCTCGCACGCCGCTTCACCTCCGGTGCCCACGGCAGGCCCTTCTCTCGCGTGCCCACGGCAGGCCCTTCTCTCGCACACCGCTTCACCACCGGTGCTCACGGCAGGCCCTTCTCTCGCACGCCGCTTCATACTGAATCCGAGAGGTCTGCACGGAGAAGATTTCCACCACCCCGAACCGCCGCGCCCGTCAGCCTGTACCAATGTCCAACTACTATCCATTTCTCATCAGTCATACCTTTTTGTTTCCCACCGGCTTGCATGTTAGCAAAACTTATATTGCAAATTGTTCGAAACGTTTCAAGAAATTTTGCACCTGAACTTACGCTTTTTCAGTGATTATTGCAGAAAAAGTTTACTGAGAATAAAACTAGTCACAGCTTAAACAAACTCCAGCATTAACGGGCGCTCGGATGGGGGTCAATTTGACTCCCCGAAAGTTCTCAAAATAATTTCCACGAGGAGTGGCATAGCCATGCCGAGCTTTGCATAGCTGTAGGAAATTTGATAGCATATCGTTTTGTGTAAAAATTATGCGTACCTTGTAAGGTCGCAGACCTACGACAGGCCAGCGTTAGGCCATGGCTGTCAGCAAGAACAATTTCTGAGGAATGTTTCAATCTGATGCGACAACGGAGGGTTAGACGAGGCCGTACATTACCTGAGATGATTTCCTACACGATTAGACAATTACAGTTACAACTTTCATTTACTTTGGGTCGTGTATGAATGTCAGACCAGGATGTTACTAACCTGTTCTTTTGCTGAGGAGTTTGTGTTAGGGGTAGCTTCTAATGCTCATTATATTTGTATATCAGAGTGACCGGGACAGACAAATCCCTTGGATGTCTTAAAGGCTAGAAGAGGTCGTTGATCTAAATCGACTCGGGTCAACTTTTTGTGTTTTTACAACATATCATCCAGTGTCATCCTTGACGCATAATATGACCTACTAAAGCTCGAATAAGGTGACTAACCTGCAATGAAAACCAGGGATTTTTTGCTTAAAACAGTTATCTAGGCTCAATGTGGTTGCATGAGGAAATTCGGGGGAACTTTTGATAACAATCCGGAGTCTGACCTTGTTTGAATTTATTTGATTCGAATTTTGTGACTTAGGGCCTCAAGTTGGGACGTAAGTCAGTTCACATAAAGACCAACCAACCCTGTGCATTTGGTTTCTCTAGCCCTCTCAGTTTTTGAAATCTCAGGAGGTAGAATTAACCCCTACCCGAGCTGTGGTATTCACCGACCATCCGAGCGCGTGTTTTCATTGAACAGCAGCCACATTGTGCAGCGTTTTGTTAATACGCGCTCGGGGGGGGGGGGGGGGCGTCCGTTTGATCGGATCCTTCGGTTTTTGCTGAAGAACTCCCGAACGGTGCGGCATCGCGACGCTAAGCCTTACATAGCTGTTGACAATGGCATGGCCAATCTTGAGTTCAAGATGAATATACCTATCTTGCAAGATCGGGCAGGTCGAATTCATACTATGACTGTCAGGAAAGAAAAGTCTTAGGAGGAATCATTTCCAACTGATGGTAGTACGGAGTTTTAGACGAAGTTATATACCTTCTTTGTTTTTTTAGCCATCTAGACAGCCCATTCGTCATGGATTAAATGCTGGTTTATTGGCTGTATAAACTTGCCACACATCATCAATATTTTTTTTAAATACGTCAGGGGCAGGTTGCATCAAATCCCCCTATCCGTTCGGGCCATAAAAAAGTTGAATCCGAGCGGGGTTGAGCCTAAGAATAACATTTCCCACAATCGGCGGCGGTGAAGATGTGGTTGGCCACCGTTAACAGAACAGTTTTTGTCGAATGGTTGGTATATAAACCGTTCTGGTTGGACGAAAGCAGATAGTTAAAGGAGCGGTAGTGGAGCCGCTGTCTCTGAATGATCTTCTCTACCACCACGGGAATTCCAAGGTGATGTAAGAAACACGGAAGTTGGATGACACATGAGTCCCCGGTTTTCAAGATAGGATAAATAATGGAGTGTTTCGAAAGACCGGGAAAGCTGGACTGGTAGGCAGGTATTGATAAGGCGCAGGGTGACTTCACCAGCAGCAGATGATCTGATATTTTAACACGCGGCCGGGTGGCGGGTTGAATACCCTTTGCTCGGGCGGGGGGGGGGGGGTAGTTTGATGCCCCTGAGATCTCGGAAGCTAAGATAGCTAGAGACACCAAATTCACGAGTAAATTAGCCTGCACGAAAAATCACTTATGCTAAACTTGAACGCTCCTAGGTCATGACTTGGGTCAAATAAGGTCAAACAAGGTTGAGATCCAGATTGATCTCTCAAGTGCCCCCAGACCTATTCATGCAACCGCTGTGAAGCTAGATACCTGCTCTAAGCAGAAGTTCAATGGATTCGTTGACCTTGTTTGACCTTCATTAGGTCAAGGTGACCAAATAGTTACGAAATTCCTCCTATTCTACCGTTCGAATAACCATCAGAGACTACGCAAGGCGGCCTGTTCCTACAAACAAAATGTTGACCTGGATCCTGTGAGTTCATTGACCTTTTTGACCTTTTCATAGTCCATGTAACCTGTCTGTTGCGGTCCCTGTGATGAATTAACTTTAAAGGAGCACCAAAGCTATTCCGCAAAACCAAGTTATCGGGTAGAAAGGCAATTTAGTTTTTACCTCGTTTTGACCTTCATATCTGACCCTGGGTTTACACGCGCCCGGGTGGCCGGCTAAAAACCATTCTCTCGGGTGGGGGTCGATTTGACCCCGCTGAGATCTTGGGAACTAATAAAGCTAGAGACATCAAAATTACAGGGTGTCTTGACCTGTACGCGAACTCACTTAGGTCAAAGTTTGAGCTTCCTAGGTCATGACCTCAAGGTCAGATAAGGCCAAACAGGGTCAAATTCCAGGTTGGTCCCCAAAATGTCCCCAGAACCCAGGCAACTGTTTCTAAGCAAAAGATGACAAAGCCCATTTGAGGTCAGTGACCTTGTTTGACCTTTTGAAAGTCATGGTGACCAAAATCATTCAAGACTGTTCTGAGTTTGGCATTTGAATAAGCGACAAAGGTTACGCTAGGCAGTATGTTCCTAAAACATAATGTCGACCCGGGTCATCTTAGATCAATGACCTACTCTGACCCCTAAGAAATCAATGGAAGATGTAGAATACGGTTCCTGTTGTCAGTAAATTCGAAATGAGCACCAGAAACTGTCCCATACAGCAAGCCCTAGGGTAATAAATCGGGTTGGTTTCGACCTTGTTCTGACCTTCATACCTGACCATACGTCAACGTAATCTGCCTATTCAATATTTGTGTTGCCTAAGAAAGCATCTCAGAGATGTATGGCTTCGTCAAACACTCCGTTGTTATATCAGATTAAACGATTCCCTAGAAATTGCCTTCGCTGAAACCACTGGCCTGGCTTTGACCTGCCATAGGTCAGAGACCCTACAACGTACATCTAAATTTTGTCAGAACGATCTGCTATTCAATTTTCTACAGCTATGCAAAGTTTGGCGCGGTTACGCCCCGCCGTTCGGAAACCATTCCGGAAAAACCTTGGGGGGGGGGGCAATTTGACCCCCTTACCCGAGGGCGTGATCATGGAATTGGCTGCAATTCTAAATTCAATTGATTTGCTGCGTAACAAACTATCTCAGATGAGCATGGCTTCGTCAACACTCAATTGCTACATCACATTCAACGATTCCCTAGAAATTGTCTTCGCTAACAGCCACGGCCTGACGTTGACGTTGTAGGTTAGTGACCTTATGGGGTACGTTTCTTTTTTAATCGAAAGAGATCCGCTTCAATTCCCGACAACTATGCAAAGCTGGCGCTGCTACACCACGCCGTACGGACATTATTCTGGAAAAAACCTTGAAGGGTCAATTTGACCCACTGACCGCCGCGCGTGTTAACCTTCACCCTGATTCGCCGTTTTGTCATAGCGTGGGTTAATATGTAAGTTGGAGGGGGGGAGGGGGTCGTGAGCGGTCGATACGAAAGCAGAGGTCGATACGACCTCTGGCTTTTCAAAACTAAGAAAGATAGGACCTCGGGAAATAGAATGAATTAGTCTCGGCGAGATCACGCTATTGGTGATGAGTTTTAGGTTGTTAGATGATAATTGGGTTCACTAAGCCAGGCTAAAGGGCAAACCGTCTTGAAAATTTAACTTTTTAGCCTTCCTTGCTCATATACACTACAACACACCGGTAGGAACATGCAACTTAAAAAGGCGTATTTCTTGTTTCATTCTCAGCACAATTCTGCGTAGCCTTATGTGTTTTAAGCGTGTATTGATGTATGACTGTAGCATCGATGTAGGGCTGCTCCATCAATGTTGAGAGTGTCGGCCAGCCGTGCACGGTCCGCGCAATCGTCGGTGGCCGCCCGCGCGGTCCGCTGCTCGCCGCCCGCGCGGTCCGTTGCTCGCCGCCCGCGCCGTCCGTTGCTCGCCGCCCGCGTCGTCCGTTCCCCGCCGCCCGCGCCGTCCGTTCCCCGCCGCCCGCGCCGTCCGTTGCTCGCCCCCCGCGCCGGCTGCTGCTCGCCGCCCGCACCGGCCGGTGCTCGCTGCCCGCGCCGGCCGGTGCTTGCCGTGCAGTGTCTCTAAACAATCATCGCCTCTCAAATACCAGACATGCCAGGGACACGCTTTGGTGTCAAAAAAGGGGGAATGGACGCCCCGGAGTCACTGATAATTTGGGTACCATTGTACAACATGCCAGAGGGCATCCTCAGAAACCTAAGGGGGTCGCATCCTCCCTGCCTCTTACCAGAGCGAGGGTTGATGCGCGC